GTCTTATTGACGTTGCTAAGGATGCATTGGAACAGGTTCGAAGTTATATTATACATCAGTTATATCATAAATTCCCGTTTGCACCTTTTAGTTAACAAGCTTCGTCATCCAAAACATATCATCCGGTCTTATTGACGTTGCTAAGGATGCATTGGAACAGGTTCGAAGTTATATTATACATCAGTTATATCATAAATTCCCGTTTGCACCTTTTAGTTAACAAGCTTCTATTGTTTTTTAATTATTTTCCTAGAAAAGTAGTTTGCAGGTCCGATATTTGCTATCGGTAGAAGATCAAAAAGCTTTGCTGGAAGATCGCCTGGATATGGTTATGCAGACCGTCGGCACACAACTGAAACTCGTGCGAAATATGCATGGTATTCGTACACCGAAAGGGCAAGATATGCTCAAACTTATACTCAATTTCTTAACCCCGGTAATTTCATGTTTTTTGCTTTGCATTCGTAATGAAAAAATTGCTTTTTTGCTTTTATGTTTTCTCAATAGTGTGTTCCAGCTAAGTGCATCTGCTGATAAATACGCTCGAATGAATGTAGGAGAAGATGCGACCAATGAGATATTGTGGGAATTAGTTCATACTCTCATTGAAATTCAGTCAGATCCTGTGTGCTCCGCAATGCCGGATTCGGTCCATGTAAGTACTGATTTACGGGTAGATGTGCGATTCATTGTGACAAATGATCTTTCTGGTTCAGTTTGCACGTTCCCTAAACGCTCTGATTATTCATTCAGTCAGATCCTGTGTGCTCCGCAATGCCGGATTCGGTCCATGTAAGTACTGATTTACATCCTGTGTGCTCCGCAATGCCGGATTCGGTCCATGTAAGTACTGATTTATCGGTAAATGTGCGATTCACCAAAGCAGCTGATCCTTCTGTTTAAGTTTGCACGTTCCCTAAACGCTCTGATTATTCGATTGTGTGTGAGAGTGGAAAGAACTACGTTCTTTGCTGCTTGTGCGCGTTGCTTGATAACCAGCCTTCTCGAAGATCCGGAAGGAGATGCCGGTCACCTGTTCATAAAGGTTTGGTTTCATTCTTGCGAGGCATTGATTGATGATATGTGTTTATGTGCTCAAAGAAAAAAGGAGGACTGAGTGATGACGACTGACGACTTTGCAGCATTAGCAACTGAGTAATTCACTAAACAATTGCTATTCATTTAGTGTATGCATAAATGGGCTGATACAATGGCAAAGCAGAAGACAGTTATTGATATGGACTTGTATCTCCGAGCCGCGAATCGGCTTTACGACCAAATTCAGCCGGTTAGTCGCGCGTTGATCAGTTTTCTACTGCAGCATTACTTTCATTTTTAGTGCCTTAGATGAGATTGCAGTGATTTATAGGGCGCAGCAAAGCACCGACTGTATATGGAAGGTATCCGTTCTGTCGAAATGTGTTCAGAGCAGGCAATGATCGCAATGGGACCAATGGTATGCGGTTTCCTTACATGAGTGAAGGGAATTTTTTTGCACAGATGTGGTAATCATTGCTATTCTGGACGTTTAAATTTTCATATTTACAGCTCCTCGAGAAACTGAAAAGATTACCGAAATCAAACCCACATTTTCTTCAACACCTTCAAGCATGCTACGCCGAATGTCAGAGAATAAGCCCTGCCGGTTGGGGAGTTTCTCTTCCAGGAGCGGTAAGTGGTCGTTGTTTCTTTCGCTCCTTATGAGGAAAGGTGAAGTTTGACCATCAACAGACTATCCCGTTTGAATTAGATCATTCGTTTAATGTTGGCTGCGTTGAGTTCTACCTTGATTCTTTTCTCGTGTTTCTTCTCAATCTTATTTTATTTTATCTAGGTACAACTTAGCCCTAATAAACACTGCTCTCTCCCTATTTTTATCACCTACCCATTTAGAATATTCCATTCATCAATCTTAACTCTTAGAGTGCAATCAATCTTAGCATCCCGACAGCGAAAAGCAATAAACATGTTCAGAACAAATAGCTTCATGTTTTTCCGAAAGCACTTGCAGCGTAGTTCTTTTGCTTCTGTACTGGAGCGATAGGTGGAAGGAATCCTCGGAACTCTAACCAAACGAGCTCATTCCTTTTCACAACTCTTTACTCCAGAATTTTTTCTGTTGTGTGAATTTTTACCTTTCAATCACTATTTTGCAAATGGTGGTTTACAGTTATGCCTAACTCAGTTTTGGCACCTTTGGGATTGGCATTGCGGGAGAGAAACCCTGTTTGCTCGTTCTTCCTCTTCTTGGTGGCTTCCTTCACCTTATTTAACAACCGTCTCGGAAAAATGACACTCAGGGCTAGTGGAGTTGACACAATCTTCCATTGTTCTGTTGCTCTGTGCCATCTGTGAAGAACGCTGATTACGCAAAATCCTTTTATTCAATAGCTGCTCTTGTCATACTCTCTCCTCCAGCCGTAGATTTGGAACCAATGCAGAAGCATTATGGTGGCATTTTTATAGTTATTACATTTAGGTTTCGGAGTCTGTCACTGTGCAAAAATCCAATCCATTGAACGGGTACGGTCGCTCGGAGCTGCAGATTCTCGTGGATAATGTCATTCGTGATTTACCTTCGGTACAACCTAATAGATGTGCTTCCTCACTTTTCTAATTTCTATCTCCTAAATTTTTTAGTATGAAAAACACACCACCTTGCTTGTTTCATACATGGACAAACATCCGGAAGATGCTGAGAAGTTTGAGAAGTATCTGGAAGTGGTGAGTCGTACACGACACTTAAATATTGTTCATTTTTCACAAATTTCAAGCGTCTCTAGTCCCTTTGCTCTTCCATTTTATGTGGTCTTTCAGATACGATTCTGATTGCTTGTGCAATATAAGTTGTTAAAAATTGTGATGTATCGTATTATATCATTCTTCTTCCATCTAAATCGAAGTTGCAATGATTTGCAAGAATGAGGGGCCGTTTATTTGGTTTAAACTGGAATGAAATCGCTGTTTGCCAAAGCAATTCTTACGCTGTACCTATAGACCAATCTCGCACGTGCTCGTATTATCGAAATTCTTTGTCTTTTGTTGGTCACCCAATTCTAGGCAATTCAATGACTTCTTTCCGCAACTCAATAATTGCTCATTCAAATAGCGTTGTACATTTGAAAAAGGGAGCGTAATTTTTTTTGTTTCTACGACTTGTCCACTTGTATTTGTTTTTATTATATTACAGGTCCCTCAAGCCAATTTAGTGCGTGATCTTATGGAACAATGCCGTGCTGGACGCTTGAAAGCACTGGGACCGATCACTGAGCAAGTAAGTTTTTCGAAGTTTTAATTCGGCCGACGGGTGCTAAGAACAGTCTACGTTTCTTTTCCGTCTCTCGTTATTACTTGTTTTGATCGTTCAACCTGATAGAATATCAAGAATTTTATATCCTCTTTGCTTTTCGATCTGTATTCCACTCGAGTCAAGGGAAATTACGAGAAAAAAAAANAAAAAAAAACAAAACTGCTATCTTATCTTATCACATTACTTTTTTCGACATTATGTTCGATCCAAGGTCTTCTTTTTTTCCACAATTCTCCAGACAAACCTCTTTTTTATCAGTGCATGATATTTTCTACTACTTGCAGACCGCGGTATCTGCTGCTCAAAAGTTGTTCACGTTGCGGTCTCGTTTCGAATCCATGCGTCATGGCCGTGATCTCATGACAACTTCGACGGCTACTATCGCTTCGACCATTGCACCTGTTCTTCAAGCCAGAGATACTAACACCGACAGCTATAGCAGGTTGGTCTTTATTTCGAGTACGCAATTCTTTTGAGATTCGGGCAATCCTTATTGTTACCTTGTGGTACGTTGTTAAATTAGCAATATTGGTGACCCTGCTCTGCTGACTTACGCCCTTTACAGTTTTCTAAATCACATTTTCCTTGAGTTTCCTATGTTTTTTAATCATTCTTTCAAAGACTCGATGTTTCACGTGACACTTATAAAAGAAATTTCTCACCGTGCGATATGCCGTTTTTCATGCACTCAGTAATTTCCTTGACAAATCAGTTTTTTTTNTTTTTTTTATCTAGCTCTTCTATGTCCGCTTCATTTTAGTGAATCAGTAATTCCTATGCCTGAAGTTCTCAATGAAACAAAGGCGAAGTTGACAGCGGGTCAGGTCAAGAAAAGGCGCACGATAGATTCGGCCACTCACACCGCTTTGATGTCTCGGTTGGCTGGTCTAGGAGCTGATTGATTATCTGTGGTATGATTTATTATTTGTTGTGTGGTTTCATGATTTGAAATACCGTTTGGTTACTTCAGCAGAAAAATCTCTTTTAGATATTATTTGCACGCTATTCCTGGTGCCTCCCGCAGTGGTACGCGGATGAACGTTTTCTTCCTACTACTTGAGTTCTGTAAATGCTGTTATTGTTTACTCGCTTCTTCATCGGTCGCATCGGTTGTGTCTTCGTTGTATTTCAGTATTTTATAGTACTAGCTTTCGTCCTGATATGCATTTCCTCTCATCATTCTGTAAAATATTGTACGATTGTAACTGCTTCACACTGAGTTTTTCATGCACATTTTGCACAATCGATATCATCATACTGGCAATATACTGATGATTTCTAGAGTAAACAGTATTTACTTAGCTGCGTTACGGTCCACAGTCCAGTACTAGCATCGTCGTGCTTTTGTGATTCTTTGGTAAAATATCCAGTGTAATAGTATCATAACTTATCATAACTTTCTTTTAAATGTTAATAATTATATAAGGCATAATAAAGTTATAAAAATGTGGATAATTCTTGTTGCAATAGTTAGCAGACACAGTATACCTGAAGCTAGCCCTCGCAAAAAAATATGAGGAATAATTTTCCAGGGGTTCATGGAAGAATTCGTCAAAAAACGAGATTTAGAAGGTTTGAAGAACTACTTCACAAGCTGCCGAGAATCTGCAGGGTGAGAGCAATTGCATTAGCCTGCGCATAATAGTTTTATCTTTCAACAGCTAGGAGTACTACTGAAGTGGTTTGAAGAATGCTAATCTCTCGGCCATTTTGCTTTATGCAGATGCAATGGGATTTCGATCTGAAGCCATTTTGTCAATTGAGTATGTAAGTTTACAGAGACGATGATCTTTCTTCCCTTCTGGAGGTCCGTTTGAGAGAGAGGGGCTTGGATATAGCAAGAGGTCCTGACGAGACCATCGAGGAAAATGTACGAAGACATCTAGAGTTTGCATTGAACGTGTGTAAGAATGGTAAGTAGAAAGATTGACGTCTGCTGGGCCTACCAATTCTATCTTCTTTTGTCCATTTTTTGGCGATAATTTTATTTCCTATCAGTCCTAGCTTTATGTTTTGTTCTCCTATCCTCAAGAAGTTTTCTTGTAGGACTATGTGTAAAGCAGACAGCTGTACAAACTCTTCAAGATATGTTTGAAGTTAGTGGTATAGGACGCTGTGAGCGACTATTTGGGATTCTGGAAGAAAATATGGTTCAATTTAAACAGGTATACAGCTACTAAGGTCGATTGCTTAGTTTTCTACTACTAGGTTGTCGGATGAGTTCTTGCGATTTTTCATTTTCCGCGGTGTTGCCATAAAATATGAAGATTAATTAATACAGGCAGGCTTCAAATTCACGGCTCATGAAAAAAATCGGAAGGATTTGTCTTACAACTGCGAAAACGTTATCCTTTGATATTAATCAGCCGTGTTATTCACCTCTTCAAATTCGAATCTCCAAAGTGCACTCTATTCCAGTCACCTCTTGTTGAAACATCACAGACACCTATACTGCGAATGTGTAACGATCTTCTCAAAAGACTCAGTAGAAGTGCTGAAACGTCATTTTGCGGCCGCATCTTGTTCTTCCTTAGCAGGTTGGCTAGTAATTACAGATATGGCTTTGTTAGATTGTCGGTTCTATTTGAAGTGAAATCAATTGTTCAGGTATCTCCCGTTAAGCGAGAAGTCGGGCCTGAATTTGATGGGACATTTCAACACTCAAAATGTGACAAAATTCGATACAGTGAGTAAATTTGTACTCTGCACCTACATGCACCTTCTACTCTACGCGGACGCTGAATTTTGGACATGAACACGAGAAAACAACCTATTTGTAGTCAGAAACACAGCCAGTTGATCTCATTAACGCGTCAGACGAAGAAATGGAAACAGGAGAGATTAAAGAAACGAAGTACGTTATTCGTGGTAGCAGACCATAATTCCACGTGATTTTCGGTCAAGTGGGTCTCTCTTCAGAGAAGTCAATATACCTGTCGACCATGCGCTGTACTCAATGTTTTGGCAGATGCAATCCTTTTTCTCCAACCCAACTATTTGTTTCGATAAACAGCAATGGGTAACGTTTCAAAAGGTGGGCTTTGTAAATGTAACTAGTTACCAAGTGACATTTATTGCTTAAGATCTATTTTTAGAATTCTACTGATGTATTGGGTGTGTTTTCAAGTTATAAACTAGAGAAATCTTGCGACGATGACGATGACAATGGAAAGAGTCATATCTTGGTGAGTTGTGGGCTGGTGAATTGGGTCCCTCAACCTTGCCTTCGACATTAAATTCGGTTTTAATAAGCGAGTAATTCCAGGACGCGGAAAACACACGAAAAATGATGGATGAGTCGGATTCATACTTTGCAAAGTATCTTACAAGTCCAAAGGTTAGTTATTGGTATAACTGATTTGTTCGTTATCATTATTACTTCCTCTTTCAGCTACTTCAACTGCAATTGAATGATTCACAATTCCGACGTTACTTCTTGATTCAGTTCATTATACTTTGTCAATATTTGACAAGTAATAGAGCCAAACAGTGGGTTTATACTTATTTATTTTGTTCGATTGCTCGAGTGTAAATAGGTTATCGTTTTCTTTGCAGAGTTTTATGCTTCGTTCACTTCATATGTAAGATCCCGTGTTAATCAGGCCCCGAACTTAAGCTCAAATTTTCCACCCCTTGCTTCTTACTTAAATGGATTCTTCACGGTTATCGTGCCCCTCTTCAAAGTGGTTTTCCAAAAATCAATTACCCACTACGATATCGTTCGTCTTTTGATCTGTGATATTCCTCACTGAACAAGCCTATCAGCCTCCTCCTTATCTTTCTCGTCTTATCAAAACCTTCTTACGCATATACACACTGGATTTTCATTTTATTACTATTATCATCATCATAACCAGGAGACCCTTGGTTGACGGAATACCGCTTTTTATTTGATCACGTATGTTGGAAACGCACCAGTTACCTACTTTACAGAAAGATCACAACTCTGACTGAGGAGCAAACTAAGTTTGTCAATGAGAGTCAGGAGAAATGTTATCGTCTGCTGCGAGAAACCCATCCGAAAGGGGCACATTTTGCAGAAAGTGTCAAGGTTTGTGAGAGTTTCCCTGGAACAGCTTATTTGCTTCTTGATACTTTTTTGCATTTCATTTTAGCACATTCTTCAACGGGAACTAGAATGGGCAAGGTGGAAAAGTGAATCATGTCCAAATATGGCGGACCTTGCCGATAAGCAGCAAATGCAGCCGTACAAAAAGTGACTCAATTAACTTATGTTTATTCGTCTATTCGGCCTGAATACGAAACTGCAATTTCGAAACATACTTTGATGAAACTTACTGAAATATGGACAATATATCACTTTCGAATTTCTATATTTCTTGGTCTCAGATTCTGGATCCATTAAAACGTAGTTTTGTGATCTCTGTTTTTCCTTCTTTTTGGTTGTCCTTTTGGAATAAACCGATGTTTTCAAGACGGCCGCGAATCAAATTTGATCCCGCTGAAATTGACATTGGAACTCCTGAATTGACGAAATTGTGGAGCATTGAACCAAATCTACTGGCTGCTTGCCGGAATAAAAAGCGGTAACGAGTTAGCCTGATTCATTCCTCGGTACTTATTGGAATACCCTTTCGTTCAGAAAATTCGCTCCCTCTCTGGCTGATTTCCTTCGTGATCCAATAGATGAACTCGACCCTGAGCAACAAGTAGAAGATCAATATAAGTGAGTCACAAGTGATTTACAAATATTTTTATTTTCTTTTGTTTTCCTACGAAAGGTGATATACTGAATTCTTTGCCCTCAAAGTTTTTTGGGCTTCCCCGCTTGTAATTCCTCGAAAGGCACGGAAAACCTCGAAATATGAGCTAGAGTTATTTTGATCATGTTTGATCGCCATTTTGCATTTTCGTCTTGTTTCATGCCCATTCATCAAAGTTTTCATTTGGACTTTTCACTTGAGTCTGAAAGTGAACAACTTTTGGTTTCAGATCAACACGTGATCCTGCGTTCCAGTTTCGCGCTTGCCGACTGCTTATGGTCGAAAGCTCACAGTATATATCTGCTCAAAACCAACAAACCCTCAGTATACCTCAATTTTTGGATAATGTGATATTAAGAACAGGAAAGAATATGGAGGTGAGGAATCGCCAAATTTCACCCGAAAAAGCGACGGGCATAGGGGCATAATTTCACCCGATAGGTTAAACTAAGTCTTTTTTTATACTATACTTCTTTCAAGGAATTTCGAACAGAGCTTCAAGAACGTGAAGAACGGCAGGCAAGAAAAGCAGTTGAAGAGTCGTTGCTTCGGAATCGTTCTAATGGCGTTGAAGGGTACATATTATGCCTCTTCTTTTGCTATATTCATCTTCATATGAGCTTTTAAGATCAGCTTCTCCAAGTCCTGATTACGAAATGAGTGACTCAACGTTAGCTAAGCTAGCATCTATTCTGGCTCCTCAGTGGAGAAAATTAGCGGAATCCATGGAAATTAGCGAGAAGAAAATACAAGAGTTGAAGGGACATTCAGTAAGTTTTTTTCCAATAATGATTTTTTTGGTGGATCAAAGTTTGCCCATGTTTTTCTTTTCTCCTCGTTATCACTTTTTCATGTGCGATACTGGTTGTAATGAAAATTGGAAATGATTGATTCATGGCTGCATCAGTTGAGATGGCGTTGAAGGGGTTTCCGTTCATACGCGGTGATCNCGAAAATGTGCGGGCGCATGGTAAAAAGAGAGAAGCAAAATAAGATCTTAAGAAAGTAAGCTCTTCTCTCTGCTCGGTATACGGTGTTATAGTTTAGTGTGGCTATCTGTGCATTTTTCTCCTTCCACTACCACTTCCTCCTTGAAAAGGATAAGGATGGGATCTGAAAAATTGAGACCGTCCCCCGATCGTCCGCCCGTGATTAGACTGTTAGTGATTCTGCTCATACTAAAGGATGAGCCAGAAAAGGCACAGCTCAACAGAAAAATTCGATCATTTTTGTAGGAATAAGTCGTATGTAACTGATTGCCCGTAAAGCTCGATGAACATCCTAGAGAGAGTAGAAAAATTATGGGACTGCCTTTAGACACGTGAATTGAAAACAAATGGCAAAAGGGGGTGAACTGCACTCATTTCTTGCATATGACGACTAATGTATATAAACTGTCCAGTAATCCATAGGGAACCGACAGTGAGAGTATGAATGCGCACTGAACTATAAAACAAGCTTACTTAAATGGGCATCTTTGCAATAATTCGCCGAAGCTATTTCGTTAGCACAAATGCCCCTCAGTTGGGTTATGATCAGTTCAGTCCACATCAAGCTTCAATTCAGAGGCGTCAAATTATTGCTGAACATAGTATGACACTCCTATCAGCTATGATACGAAGTAAAATTTATATACTTCTTCTCTACTATACAATAGTTGTTTAGGACGCCGAAAGCTGTTCTGCTGTTATAAAACATTGGACAGAAACAAACGGTCGTTATTTCAAGAAACTTAGGAATCTCTTACTCAATGCGCATCTCCTATCAGAAGTAGTCGTTGAAGTCCTAAAGGTCTGTTTACTCTAATAGCATAGTTAGCATTCATATTTGTTTTAATTTCTTCTCTTCCCATTCTTTTCCCAAAAATGTTAAAATCTTAAAATTTTTAGTTAAACCACTAGTGGAACTTTCATTTTTTTCTATTAGTATTTTTTGATGAATAATTTATAGTACAAATGCAGTATTTCAGAACAAATCACAAGGGAAACCAACATCGAGTTGAGCATTCTTGTTTTGAGCTGACATGTTCTACCATCTACCAGTTTGATCATCTATGAGTTGTTACGGTTATGGACTGATCTTGTTATAAACCTAATCTATTTTGCAATTTTTGTACATGTTGGTGAAAGCGTTGCTGCGCTGTATTTATAATTTTAATTACCGTGAGCAATTCCCAAATATGCGGAGTTCATATTGCCATTTTGATTAAATGCTCAACTTTTTTCTGTACCAGGGTCGCAATGCCTGCATTTTTCCTCTCAAAAACAAAAGGGCCTCCTAGAAAGAAAATTGGCGTCAAAAGGGTAAGTTTCAATAATCTACTTCTCATCCATTTAATTTCCATGGGTAGGTTATGCTAGGTGAAGTAGAGATTGAATTTTGCCTTGCAACATTTAGGGATTGAAAGATGGCGATGACAAGGAAGCGAGGCTATCAAGACGACGGCGGATGATGGAAAGGACAGAAATAAGCTCTGATGATGAGGTACCGGAGATTTGTGGCCGTTTTGATGCTAGGTTATAAATAGACTTGTTCGCAGGTTTCTGTTGCTAGCGATAAAATATCAGATGCCAGTGAAGGTGAATATGAAATTGAAGATGTTGCCCGGATAAAAGCTAAGGAGTACCTCCAGAAACTTCATGTAGGTTTTGAGACACTATCATGTTTTCTTGCTTCTCATTTGTCCTCTTTTTCATTGTCTTTTCATACCCTTCGGTGTTTTTATGCCTCCGTTATACACTTGACATTGCTAGTTTTGTAAATGTTATTCGTTAAGGAATCTGGAAAAACAGAAGAAGAGATAGGTGAAACGTTAAAGGAAGACGCGGCTGTGAAGGCAGGGACATTGAGGCGACAGTTGGCTGACTTGGCTGAATTACGGGATGAGGAAGAAATAGCTTACCGAGCACACAGGTAATTTTATTGTTCCTTTATGTCCTTCTTACTTTGCTTTGGGCAGAAGCATTTCCCTTTTGATTAACTGCTCCCATCATGAATGGATGTAAATTGGTAGCTTCCTATAAAATGGGAATGGGGTTTCCTCCAGAAGGTGCCCAGTTATTGCGGAGTGATTCCTGTTTCATTTACAGTATTTAAGAAAGTATGCTTGTTTGATTCAATACGGCTCCTGGTACAAAAGCGATACTGTGATCGAAAATTTGGTTCAGGGATATTTTTTTTTATTTCTCATTGGTTTTGAGTTCTGCTTGATGCTTACGTCAAATTTTCTTGTAATGTGCAATGTGAAGCTGACTTTTACTTCCACTGAAAACTCATCGCGAAGAAATCCACAGGCTTCTTGGTTGGACCTTTTCAGTTTTTTTTTTACTTAGATTTGAATGATGGCGATTCTCCCATTCTTCAGTATATAACGGACTATTACTGTTCTTTGTCATGATATCCATATCTTACTCTCAGGAGAAACGCTGGCTGTGCAGCATTTAAACCGATAAGATGTAAAGTTAATGTTGTGATGTTCATGTCTCGCTTTGACAGCGATCAAAAGAATCGATTTTTGCCGGCTGAGAGGACCATAAAATAGGTTATGAGTCAGCGAACAGCACTAGGTAAATAAGGCCGCAAAGTTTGAGGATTCGCACAATAATAGGACAACAATTAAAATTATTCGTTTTCAATCGCTAGCGCTGTATGCGCAGCCGTAACTGCTAAACTATAAATTGTTCCCTCAGTGATTCGTTTTTCCTGTATAGGTTTCCCCATTGGATCAACGGATAAACTTGGAGTAAGGATGTTTCATTTCCGCTCGGCTCTATATGTAGTGGAGGCGATTGTAACGCCGCTTTCCTTTACTATTCACTCAGATATTCAAGCTGAGAATATATGGCAGTGATTGAAAAATTCAACTTTTTCAAAAAAAAAAATTCCAGAACTCTCTCTCCGGAAAAAAAAANNAAAAAAAAACAAAAATACTAATTATTCAAAATGTATAATGGAGCAAGGGGATCATGCTGAGATCACCAGACTCGACTGGGAGGACAAAAGCACAGACTTGTACATCGGCCTTTATGATAACATCAGTGATCTTTCAGGTTCACCCCTCTTTCTGTAGCAATCTCGCCGTGTGGGAAATTCGTAATTAGTTCTGGAAAGGAATCGAGCATAGTGAAATGTCAGTTGAAAGCTTTTTTCTTCAAAAGAGATGTTTGATAATGTCTTCCAAGATTTTTGTGTTAGATGACATTACCGCTCGAAAAGTAGTCGGAACTATCAAACGTACGAAAGCTGGTGGTGAAGGGCAAAAAGCTCATTATGGTCACATTTTGGCATTGGCAATTTCTTCCGATGGGAGGTATATCGCATCTGGCGGCCATGATGCTGTTTTGAAGGTATGTTTATTGAATTTCATCCTTCTTGTTATTAAGAAAACTATTCGTTTCCACTTTATGAGATGGCGTTTTGCCTTTAAAACGATTTAAAATGTCGCGATCAAAGGCGCATTTTACAATGTGCATAGCCATACGACTTTGCCCTCAATCATAAATGCCAATTTTTTTTGTTATAGACCGTTGGATTTTGATCCTTTTCGTTCAGTGTTTTCTCATTACATTTGCTTATTTACTTAGTTTGGCAACTTTTTCGCAGTGTTTTTTCAATGAGAAACCTAAATCGACTCTCTACCCAATTAAGCAGCACCATGATTTTCGTGTAGAAATCTTTGAGAAGCATTTATGTTTTTTACTGGCGTTTTGTATGGTTAGATATCAATCCATGGTGGAGCCTGCCGTCAGAGATTCAAGAGATTTGATAGCGAATAGCCAATTTTCTAATCTGTAGACACGATATGAGTGAATTCGTATACTGGGAACTGCCTCCAATTGATTCTATAAAAAGTCGATTCCCGCTGATACGAGCTTGTTGGTGTTGCCTTGAAAGTGAAGAGAGGGTGAAGCGGGCCTTTTTTCCACATGACCTGCTGGACTTTGTTTTTGATATTGAATCAGAAGAGCTAAAAATTATGTTTCACGGTTTAGTTCTTCACCTCACATTTCTAGCCTTGCACTGAATGACCATCCTTCTCTACTCAAAACCATTTATCTCAGGAAGGAAAGCTGAAATAGCGAAGAAAACCCCAAGGCCCTAGTCCAGTGTTCTTTGATCATGCTCTATCTATATAATCTATAGTTGCTGGGGGAACTTATGTTGGGTAATGTTATATCATTTTGAACGAGAAACAATAGAAATAGTATGAAAATATATAGGAGCAACTAAGGTTACCTTGTGCTGGCGGAAGAGTGTAAGAAGCATAGCCCTTAAATAATTACTGAAAANAAAATGTATATCAACTTTAAATTACTTTTTTTTCCAAACAGATATGGGATTTCAACACTCTCGCCCATGTACGAGATTTCAAAGGACATCGTGCGCCGATTACTGCCCTTTGTTTCCAACTGAAAACAAATTGTTTGTTCAGCGCCAGTCGTGATCGATCTGTGAAGGTTGGCTGTTTTTGTCTCTACATGTGCTGCTTTCTTTTTCAGCTTTGTTGTTGTCATGATGAATAACATCGGCTCGCTTAGTTATGGGATTTGGACCAAATGGGTCTGGTAGACACGATGTATGGTCATCAAGATGTCGTCATGGGCGTTAGTGCTCTCCAAAAACAACGAGTTGTGACAGCTGGAAGACAAGATCGAAGCTGTCGCTTGTGGAAGGTTGAAGACGAAAGCCAACTGGTAATAGTCGCTTCCTTCAGCTAAGCATTCCTCTGAGAATGAGTAGCGTGTTGTGACACAAAACACTAGGATGTTTCTAAAAGAACGTATCATATGTTTCCTAGTAAAATTATGGATGAATCCTGTTTTTCGACTGAAAAGCTTTCCTTGTCCTCCTACCGTTGGCTTTTTCCTGATAGCCCGTTATATTTGCAGCTGTTCAACGGACATACCACATGCATAAGTATGGATTGTGTTGCAATGCTGAACGATGAACATTTTGTTTCTGGATCGGCAGATGGGTAGGTATATGTTTGGCTTTAAACATTCGGACTTTTATTTTACAGCACAAGTAAGATGTTATTTCTTCTGTAGAGCAAAATGACTCAGTGCTGCTTATAATTACAAAAGGACTGGAGCACATTTTCCTTAATTTTTTTTCTGACTGCATCGAAGCAGGCTCCTGTGTCCAATATTTTCGATTTTGCTTTTCTTTGTCACCAATGATTAATTTCAAAACTCCTTGACGCCACTTTATAGGCTCTTTCAATGACGCTCAGATTGCAACAATTCAAGATGTTTCGAAATTAGAGCGATTGTTCTGATAAGAAGCAACCATTGTTCATCGTTACTGTCCAATTGCTTGATAACGATTTCAACCTCCACTATCTTTTTCGCTTGCTTTCGACTGCGAAGCTGCTCGTATCTCTTATCAGGGTCTTGTGCCTGTGTCATGCCAAACCACTTGTCGCTGTACGTTTTGGGTGTTGACTTCTTTTTACACTCCGTCTAGGTACATATGTGTCGTACGACTTTTTCACTGCGGCAAAAGCATTTCGCAACAATTTTTGATTTTTTTTCAAAATTTTTGATTGAGTTCGAAGGGTATATTATGGATCTCCAGAATTCGGAAAATCCTGGGAGCCAGAAGAACGTGGCTGTCTAGGCACTTTTTGACGTCGTTTTCGTTAGTTAACAGTTGTTGATGATTGAGCTTCTCAGCTCTGTCATCTGCTCTAATACAATATAATCATCAATTCTTCTCTCCAATCGATGGCGCGGCGATCAACCAATCTAAATAGGTCAAAAATTTTGGTCCTAATTTTCTTCGCAAATTTACCAGGCTTCTTCACCTTTGCGCTCTCATTTTGCTCTCTTATAAATAGAAAAGTCCAGTCTATTCAGATCCTGTCTGTTCGCAGAACACGAAGCGTGGTTTAAGTATGAGCCAATCTCGGGCTTTTGCGAGTGGATTCTTTTTGTGGCTCTAAGGCTTCCCTCTTTGGTAGACCTTCGCACTATTTTTCACATTGTCATTGATGAAATTAAAGGCACTGTTCACGAAAAAATGGTTTCGGAGATTTGCACATGGTTTGAATTCGACGTCCCTTCTGATACCATTTGTGCAG